TATATAAACAGGATAGAACTTTACAGCTGTTTGTTGATTTGATTTTAACAATCCCGAACTCATTTGACTCTTAGGGGCTCGGATAATTATATTTATATTGCGCCGAACCACCCCTATTACATTACATTACAACGAGTTGAATAAAATCAAATAATGCGAGCCACTGGCGAGCATTATATTGTTTCATTCAACGAGTTCAATAAATTTACTATTGGATCTACACGAATATAATATTCTATGTATCACATATATAGAATAAGAACAGTAAACTGTTAAAATGAATAATTTTAAAGTGTAACGCTAACATTAGCGCGCTTTATTAGTGCAAATGACGTCACGTCAAAGTGTTATTATGCTAGTGTAATATCGTTTTTATTAAATGGCTTTATTACACTCCCGCGCCGCAGTTTATGTGATAAATTAAATTATCTACCTGCATTGTTTAACATAACTTCCCATGAATCTATCGCAATTAATCAATACATTATCATCGTTTATAGAGTGTAGATATGACTACTTAAAAATATAACCCTAATTATCTTACCGAACTAACAACATTCCGATAAATATGATAGTTCATATTTAAGAGACAGATGCTAACTAATTGTTTAACATTAAGTCTGGATTTAGGGGTTCGCAATAAAGATAAGGTAATTGCAAAATTGATCGCAATAAAGATAAGGTAATTGCAAAATTGTTTTAAATATTATATGTCTTTGCCTTGCTAGTTACAAAGCCTTTAAGAAGAAAGTATCAGTAATTCTTCAAAATTTTATTGTAAAGTACAATTGTGTCATCAGTTTTATATAAAACTGATTGAGTGTTTGTATTATACTCGTATATATGTGTGTGTTTTAACGTGAATAAATATCTATCTATCAAGTACAGATAGGTTCAATAAATCATACGTGAAAGGAAGATCGAATGTTTCTTTGTAATTGACACACTTTAATTTATTTTTTTCAAAACACATAATTGACGTATGATGTTTGGTAAAACTCACAGAGTAAGATGATCAATAAATAGATATTTAAAATAAATATATTATCCAAACTGTCCGGAAAAAACCGGATATGAACAAGTCATGGTTTTAGCTATATGTTTTTCAAGTGACAAATACGCTGCTTATGTCATGTCACGATTATTTTACAGATAAAATAGTCTTCTGGTGATATATATACAATTTGCTCCTTGATAATTAACTCTCTAACGTAAACATTGTTAAACTCCAATACTAGCTTTGAACGGACAACAGTGATAGTTAATAAAACACTTTAACCACTGAGTCATAAAGACTCAACTAAAAGTTTTCAGTAGTAACTTATGTGTAGCAATGATCGTATGTACCACTAGTCGTTTATACATGTAAAAAAAATAAATGAGTAAACATTGTATATTATGGTCAGAGAATCATTGAATCAGAAGTAATTGTTTTCAAACGAATCACGCATATTAAAAATATGTCTGTTTTTGTAACTGCTGTTAATGCATGAAAGTTTGTGAACTGTAAGACTCGAGATGTGAAATTTTGTTTCTCTCCAGAATTGCTTTTGTGATACAAAAATATCAAATGACTTGTGCTTTCCTTGCAATTGTGCTACAACACAATTATAATAATATACATATTCGGGCCTCATCAGATTATCGATGAATAAATACAACATTTTCTCTAATAAGGTTCAATCCAGAAAGCTTCTCAAATTTTATGTTACAACTTTTCTAATGAAAATGAGGTGGTTCTTACTGTTATTTGTGTTTGTTATTGTCGTTGGAATATATAGTTATAATTTCTCTGAGGCTAGAGAGCCTATATGTTCTAAATTTCCATATGAAGAACAGCTTTTAGAGAAAATGATAAGAACTGAAATTAAGGTAAAAACAATGGTGAATGAAATTAAGAAAACTGAGGATAATGTCATCAGTACATTAAGCGACATTAAACGAGCTGTTGCTGATTTTACGGACATGTTTGCCGGTATGAGAGGGAACATAACGGACGAGATGTTAAAGAGAGGCGATGAGCTAGAAAGTAGAGAAGGTAAAAATATGCACGTTGTTTTACATCAAATCTACAAATCTTAAAAATAAAATATCTATACCACTACAGTTTTTATAAAATACGAAATAAACTTGATATCTTTTACTATTTTTATAATTCATTGTTTTTTCGTTAATTGTTGGACATATTTGTCAAGATCAATATCTTTTAATAGTTTGTATTGATTTGTTGCTTTTAAGTGTTAGAAAAAAATACAACACAATGTTATCTTTCATATTTTCTGTAATCTACGTGATTTTATGTAAACTAAGTAATGGATAAACGATACATGTCTAACATTTTTACATAAAAGGAAAATCGAAATTTTAGCGACAATAGAAAAAGGATACTTGAAAGAAAATTTGTGTTCTAAAATAACTTGAACTTTGATCGATTAATGAATAGCACTTATATAAAATAATACAGAATCATTCAAGAAATTATTTGAAAAAACAAAAAGCAACCTCACTAGTGATATTGACGCTAAAAAAGAGGGACACAGTCAACTTCAAGGTATTGTTATCTACTCTATTTCTTTTCTAAAATCAATTTGATTTATAACTATCTTTGTAGCACATTTAATTGTCGCTGACTAGTCCGAAGCATTCTCTTGGTGTATCACTTGGGCAGTGACATACAGCAACCAAGATTGATCTAATATGCTACTCCATATGTAAATTTGTAACTCTTATTAAACGTTCAAATGATTTCATATACATTTACATATTCTATTTTTGATTTATTTTCGTTTACATTCAGATTTATTTCCAGTTGCATGTAAGCTCATCACATATTGGCTGATATAAATATAATTGTTTGTAATTTGCGTAGGCACTGCGATTTAGATATTGAAATATTTGACGTGCCAAGGATTATATGTAAAAACGCATTAATTCAAATAAATATTTTAATCATGAGAATTGACTATCCTTGATAACCATGAACTTAAATTTTAGATATGACAATGGATTGTAAAAAATAAACCGAAAACGAATTGTTTTACAAAATATAAAATTAATGAAAGTATATAAACTGTCTGATATTTTTTTTATTTTTGTACTCAGAAAAACTTGCCCAACCTCCAGTCGCATTCTACGCACATCACTTGAAAGACGTGCTTCTTGATACTACAGATGAGATTCTCATATTCGAGAAGAAATTCACAAACGAGGGAACAGGTTACGACACATCCACAGGATTGTTCACGGCACCTGTTGGAGGACTGTATCAGTTTTCTGTTCATACATGTGCTTATCATATGATGTTAAAAGTGAATAATTTCAAATCAATTGTTTTAATTCATTTCTGTGAATCACTTCCTCGTCAAACAGAAGATCTAGTGAACTCAACGATTGGTCAATGATATGTTGTAAAGAATAAAAATCATTCATTTCTGTTTTTTTTTGCATATGGTTGATATTATAGGAGTATTACATGATAAACTATAGTAGAATATGAATCAAAGTCTGTCCGAAATGTTTAACAATAATGTAAGGAAAGCTTATGCAACACATTTTCGAGTATATGTTTGTTTAAAAGTATCATTAAACAGTCAAGCAATTTATAATCATGAAAACAATTAATCAACATTTTAGTAACATTAAATCTATTTCAAAATATAATAGATTACCTATACAAATTTGTATATGATGGTTATATATTTTGATGAATTAAAGTACAGTGGCATGCAGAATTTATGTAAAAATAGGGTCAAAACGGGCACAATAGTGAGTAAATGAATCAAAATCATTTGTATAAAATCAAATAATAAATTAACTGGCATATGCGGCAGCAAAAACATTATATTTTAATTTTATTTAGAGGTTTTCAACATCAATTTTCGTTTTTTATCTAAATGTGAACAATTCTATTGTTTTTTATATTTGGTATGCATGAAACATATGTAACACCATTAGTGTCACATGATAATAAAAAGCAGATAAAACGGATGCTTCCTTATAGCACTATATAAAGCTAGTTATTCTGTGAACACAAAATCAAAGCAATTCGATGATAAATAGACACAAATTCGACATTATTTTTTGTACTATTCCTGTGTTATTTTAATATTAAAAGTTTCGTGAGGAAATAATTCATGCAAGAAGTATTGACGCTAGATTTATAACCCTTGTCATATTATAATGATATTGGAGCTTGAAGCAAATGCTATAAGAAATGAAGAAGTTTTAAAAATAATAATATGTAGAAAAAAAAATAAGTTCAAGAGGAAAAAAAAGTCACAGCCATTCTCCTATAATTGAAGCACTTTTTAATAATTCCTGTCTCCACTTTTAAAATCGTAGTAAAATGTACAGACGAGCTTAATCCTTTGTGACAAACATTTAAATAAGTACACTGGGATGTTCTTAGCAGCTTAACTTAAATTTTGTAGCGTGGATGCTCCTCGTTTTTCATTTGTGTTAAACTGAAAAGCTATAGTAACTGCAAAAAAGCGCTGTCGCTTGACCAATTAAAGTTTAAGATTGGTGAAAAAAACAATCCATTTCTATGTTTTCCAACAAGTTTTTGCCTAAAATCAATACAGTATTGATAATAGATTAAGAATTGCATAAGAAGTTCGAGACAGAGACCCTTATTTTCCATGATTTTCTTTAAATGCTGCCGTCGCCGAAATGCAACTATGGTACCGTAACGATTTTAAACTGGAATGTAACGATCTTGAGATGCGTTATATTCTTTTAAATTTGTACTCAAAACAATATCAAAAGACTATATTTGGAATAAAATTGATAAATTAGACTCCTGCGATGATACATTTTAACACAAACCGTTTTATTGTAAATAATTCAAATGTCGCGTTTAAAATGCTATGCCTCCGTAACGGGCGTATACTTTTAAATATACATTATACCAATCAAATAAAAATTTTAAAATATTGTTTTGTATTTCTTTAAATGAAAAACACCAAAATCAGATGTCGTTTGCACAAAAATGTGATAATTCTGACCCGTAGAAGTCGAATTTCACTATGTTTCCATAACGACTATTTTCCGTAACAAAACGATCATCCGAATTTCGGTACAGTATACGGTTCAATTGACGGTGTGACTTTTTTGCCTATCACCGCTCCCAATGATACGTCACTAAGAGGTATGCATGCAACATCTTAATTGACTTTTATGATACAATTAGGCAACTGGAGGTAATTGGCAATCACTGTACTTTATTTTGGCAACCACTGTTTTTGATTTGATAACGATGTTTTCACAATTATGTTACTTACACGAGAAATTTTACTGATAAAAATCGATTGCAAGCTTTATTTTCAGCAAACCACAGAGTCAAAAGTAGCAAGTTGATGCTATTTATATTTTTTTTACCTGTTTGAAACATTTGTTACGGAACATAGTTAATTATTTTGAGATCATAATCTGATGTCATATATGTACTTTATCCATAGTTATTTAACAATTTGAAATGAATGATTGGTTTCAAACATGGAACACATATTTCGATGAAAAAGAAGTGCACAGATTATCAAATAGTCAAAGGCAATTTGTTACGGAAGCATAGTCTTCTATCATCTTTTTTTAGCACCATAATACATATATTCAGTTTGTTTATAAAAACTGTTCCAGTGTGTTTTTTCATTATAAAGATATATGAAAATGGTGTCCAATATTAACTGGAAGTCTAACATGATTTGTATTGTGTTGTAAGGTTGCAGTTTTCCGTTACGGAACATATCAAATTTGTTACGGAACATAGCATTCATAAATGCTATGTTTGAATATGATTTTTATGTTTTTTTTACTATTTATAAAATATCTAAATTGTATCATTATGTCACTTACATTATCTAAAAGTTTTAGAATTACAATTATCATGAAAAAAGTAATATTAATAATGATATTAATGTAATAATGATAAAAATGATGATTATTATGTAATTGTTATATTAATAATAATCATGACAAAAATAATTATTTTAATGATGTTCATGTATCAAGGTTAATAAATTTATAATAAGCAACGATTTTCTATTTTAGAATGGTGCTTTTAAAAACAGAAATACAGGAGACAAAGCAGAGAGGGGAAAACAACAAATCATTTAAAAGAGAAAGAAAGCAGAAAAAATTATGTTCCCATTCAAAAAAGAAAAAGCACTGGTGAAGAAAATGTAGAGGAAACTACATGAAACGTTATAACATTACAACAAATTTGTGTAAATTAGGCAGAAATAAAGCAAATAAAAGTGAAAAAAAAGAATTCTTGTTCATTTTCAGTGAAAAACATAATATTTTATTTTCCATAACATATGTTCCGTAACAGATATCTTTTCCTGCACTACTCACTAAATTAAACTGTTGATGTTATTTTTAATTGATACAGTGTTTTATGATTGATGTTGTTTGTGAAGATACCACATTTAAATTGTTTAAGTAATGTTAAAGAGTGAAAATATTGAGTTATAAATCCTATGTTTTATAATTTTTCACCTATGTTCCGTAACAGATCATAAGGTCTGTTTGATGATCGTTTGTGAGGCGAAGTTTTTTTGGTAACGTTACACCGATTAAAAGTTATGCTTGATTTGTTTTCTGCTTCTTTTTTAGATATAATTCGATAACTTTTATGACAGTATTTGTTTGTGCATTGTATCGAAACAATGTCAATCTTAAGTTACGAAAATATTTGCTTATACAAGCTTTTCAAATACGAAGTATACAAGTTTCAGAATAAGATATGGCATAACATATTTTTGCTAAAGGTAAACATTGATCTTCAACTTTACAATGCATATTCTTTTGGATTGTTTAATTCAAAATCTTAGTAAAACAATACCTCCAAAGTAATTCCTATGGTATATATATGTTCCGTAACAATGTAATTCAGTAACTAACTTCAAAAGCTTTCAGTATACAAACGGAGCAAATGGTGTGTGTCAAACTTCCACACAATCTGTCCAAGGTATTGAATATTAAAAGCAAATCATAGAAATCGTTGTTTATGAAAGTCAGATTTTTCATTTTTTGTGAACCAAAAGTGCTTCAATTATGGGAGAATGGCTGAGTCAAGTTAGAGTATTGAACCTTCTCCCTTCTCCAATGACTGAGTAATAATAAGACACACAAACATGTATATATATATACGTTTCTGTCTGAAGATATGTAAAAACATTTGAAAGCGCTAACAGAAATAAACGTATAAAAAATTAACGAACTTTGTACTCTGCATTTCCCAAAACATACTTATATATATATATAAGTTGTAGAACTGATAAAACATGGTGAGGTTGATGATCAGAAACATATATTTGAGTTTTGAAGTAAATACTTTAAGAAATAAAGATCTTATAGTGAAAAAGTAAATCAGAAATTTTGACGAGGTCACTGACGCTTGGTGAGTAGGTCAGCTCTCAATATACTACCAAAATTATAGATTAAAACTGATGTGTATAATCTCCATACTGCCATACTGGCATTTATCTATATTTAAAGTTTCACAAAAATATTTTCACTCCATTTTAATAATCACAAACATTGTTATATTTGCCATATTTCAAGCATTTTTTGTTACCATAGCAACCAAATCTTTTAACATAGAAAGACAAGAAAAAGCTGTGTACAATCCCCGCACTGCAATCTATTCATATTTCAAGTTTCATAAAAATATTTTCAGTACTTTTTGCCTTATCACATAATCTAGTTTATGTGTTAAATAAGCCATAATTTCAGTCTATTTGTTGCCATAGCAACCAGAATTTTCAACATAGGAAGAAACGATAAGGACGTGAATAATTTCCAGACTGTCATCTATCGATAGATTAAGGTTCGTAAAAAAAATTTCAGTACTTTTTGAGTAATAGTGAGATCCAGTTTTGTGAACGGACGGACTGACGGACGAACGTACAGACATACTGAAGGTAAACCTCAAGTCCCATCCAGTTAAACCGTTAGGGGACTAAATAACAGGCGACACATTCTAAGGGTGATTCAAAATTATTTAAGTAGGGAAATTTGAACCACCGAACTAGAAAATGCCGAAAAGTTCAAACTAAAATGTACCACGAACACAACAATTATGTCGTGCTGAACGACCTTTAAGGATCGGAAATATAACATCTCTGATCGGATGTACGGAACGACTTTTTACAGTCTCTAAACGGCACAAACAACGCTGATGTGGCGATAAAAAAGAGAAAGTAAGAAGTCTCATCCATTCATAACAACATATTTAATAGTTCAATTAAATAATTTTTCAAGATAAAAGTTGTCTGTGTATGGACATTCTATTCTGAATAACAAGATACTGTAAAAGTAACATAGAGGAAGGAAGGCAACTCCCAAGTTCATACTGCAAGCATTCCCAATATGGAGAGTCGCCTCTCTTCCCATTCCATATTTATATACATATATTACAACTAGAATAAGACACCGTTGCTAATCTTGTTCTGAATGAACGTCTGGTAATATTTTTTTATATTAAACACGCCAGCAATGGTCTCTAATTTTAAACAATTATCATTAGGATTCTTGAACTTATTAGCAACAGATTCTCAACCTGTAAAATCAATTACTGCATATTTGAAGGGGTCAGTGCAAGATGGTACCTAACGTTATTTAACATTATCTTGAGAAAAAGGTCATTTTATGAAATTTTAGTTTTAATTGAAATATTTTAAAATTAATTCACTAATAAGTAATGTTATTAATTAAAAAAACATTTGAAACCAAAGTTGTATGTTTTACACAATTTTTAATCATTTTATTTTAAGAAAAGTTATATTTATTAAATGTGCTTATGCAAAAACGGTTCTAAATCCTAACTTTTAAAACAATTGCATAAAGTATTTGAGCTTAAAATTTACATATTTTTCAACCTTTCAATCAACTAAAAGGTTATCATATAACCCCTAATGTATTTGCAGATTAATAGATTAATATTAAGCTTTATAAAAACCTAAGGCGTATCAAACAAATCATCAATTGTATAGTTTGTATTTGTTACACATTCTTCAGTTGATAAATTGATAAATATTTGATTAGTTTTAAATATTCAAGCCAGTTCAAATATAAGGAAACTACCTTACGAATAAAAGTTTTGTTTTCAATAATTCAGAATATATATTTCAAAAACATTGCGTAAAGGAACTGTCACAAACATACTTTCACTAGATGACTGCATTAAAATAACCAAAGTTACAAATATTATAAAATACATCGGCTTAAGCTGTGTAGTTTCAATATCACAGAACATCGTCTGCCAAACATCACTATTTTGCCTCGATTTTTTCCATCAAAATTTATTTCAAAGTGCTGCAACTTCTCAAGGGATTGAGATAGAGTCAAAGGCTTTTCAGCGTTGGTTACACGTTACCTTATGATCGACCTGGGATCATTTTAAGCCTCTCACAAGTCCAAGATTTCCTTGGCGATGAGGGGGACTCCGCCCCCTTCAAACCCCCCAAACAGAATTGGGCACAACCCCCTTCTGGCAACCCCCTGATGTATCTTTTGGATGGGGGCGGCGCCGAAATAGTGCTCACATTTTTAAGCAACATTTCTCAAACAGAAACATGTGTTTGGGGACCAAATAGGACATTTTTCACTATTTCAGGCCTAAAAAAAGGGGGGGGGTCGAAAATGCGTTGTTTCGCGTATATATGAGGTAAAGGGTTAAGTTCCTCCAAAAACCATTTTCACCTTAAAAACAAAGAAGTGTGTAACAAAGGGAGGTTATTCTAATTCCAAATAATGTTCTTTAAATCACAAAGGTTCTAACTTATATTTACCCTAAATTGGAGTTAGTTACCTTTTTACACTGATCCCTTCATTTTCTTACATCACTGAAAACATAAAGAAGAAACAAATGAATGAAAATAAATACTGCATTTATACATATATATTGCATTTGCCTAAGACTGAGGAACAAAGTACTAATCATAAAACCTTGAATATACGCTGTTTAAGAGACTCAGAGAGTATAGTACAAAATATCCTAAATTAAAATATCATAACCATTATTAATCTTTATGAGTACATAGTTCAAAGGTATTTCTTTGTATATGTCTGGTCTTGTCAGACAGACTCGGTCATATACAACATATAAAAAGATTGACGCGCGTACATGCAGGAAAATAAGATAATAAATGTTATAAAAGATACAAATGAAAACAATCATTGTGAATGATTTTCATAATATATCTATCTATCATTAAAACTGGAGACAAATTCTAAGCAGGATAATAATGATAATAGAATGCACTTAGTAATAACTTCGACATCCCTATATCACATCTTACAATAAAAGATTAATGTTAAGACATTTTTGGTTTATTTAATTGGATAATTTTAATAATCCTATAAGTTGTAATTCCTGAATTTGATAAGTTCACAATATGACAGAAATTGATGTTTATTTTGTTTAAGTTACACATTTAAATGGTATATTCCATAATATATATGGAAAAAAAACTCAAGAAAAGTTCTAAATGTAAAATGTTTACCTCAATTTCATACCGAACAAATATAATAAAATTTGTCAATGGAAAAAGTTTTTGTGTGTCAAATGACGTCCTTTTGATTTACTACACGTACCGTCATTTGAGGCTACTGTCACTACTTAGAATATAGCGAAGACATCTGGAAATCCCTAGTAATATTCACACTCGAAGACATAAATGTCAATATCCTTTGGTAAGGCTTTATCCTTTAAACAAACAAAATACAACTGGCATAATTTTAAAACAGTGCAAACGCTGCTGATTTGCATAAAAAACTCCAAACCTTTGGGATTGCTACGTACCAACTTTAAAGTCAATCTATATTGATAATTCTAAAATGCGTCTAAAGTGTCAGAGGCAACAGAAGACAACTTTTAGACAGTGCATTTAACATTTTTTAATTATTGCCTTTAAAGGGGAAGTCAGGGCTGTTTTATAGATATATTGCACGTCGCTCCAACACAACATTGTAAAGGTTGTATGGCGACATCAAACTGTTTTGATGCATATCATCCCAAACGTTATCGTCAGCCATTATCAACGTATGTGCTTAAGCCAAAAGAATAATGGTTTGTAAGTTGGAAATCAGACTCGTATAACGATCTTTCTGTTAAGGAAAGACCTGGTTACATAGTTCATGGAGCTTATGACCTAGTACTAAGTTGGATTTCTTTCGTTAAGAAAACACTTCAAAACATATTGTTTTAAAAACATACGTGATTCATTAACTCCGGTTATATCAAACCTTAAACTAGGAGTTTCTTCAAATATCGAGTTAATTGCTAACAAATAATTAATTTCAAATATTGTTCTACTTTATTGCGGATAATGCGAATTCGTTTTATTTAATAAATTTGAAATAAAAAAATGAGGAAATAAACGATCAGAAAATGTTTAATATTTCATTTAAGAGTCCATTAATGGTTATTTATAAAATAAATTGATGTCAATGTGTGGGAATTCACGCGGTTGATGAAAAGTACATGGGCATTAATTTTCAGTAATGAATTATTTTGTTAAGAATTTGCCTAAGTATAACCTTCCCATAAAACATCAGTTGATTGATATACTTTATTCATATTTATAATGTATAATGATAAATTATTCTTTCATGCAATTATGTCAACAGTTAATAAATTGCCCTTTGCTCTGATGCGCTTGCTGTTTGTTGTGTTTTTTATTTTAGAAAAAGATGCTAACATAGGATGGTGATATTATAGTTAGATAGTTTGTAAAAGTTAATTTACAATAAAAGAATAATAAAAACAAAACACATGGAGTTTCTATATGCATCATAAAATCTTTAACTGAATAGTTAATATATCGTCAGGTAACTTTTTAATCTGTTAGAAGAGTATTTTATTGCATTACAGGAGTTTTCACTATATTTACCGAAGATATTGTGAAAATTCAATTTTATGATATGTGATACATGTCAAGTTATTTACCTACCATTAAATTAAACCTGCTGAGTTTTAATGGTATTTCCTATATATTTGGAGACGCCGCATGGGTAATGTAAATTTATTTGATAAAAATTATTGAAGCCAAAATAAAATTGCCATTTATTTAGAGTGTTCTTGTTTTATCAGGGTGCAATAAAGACACACTTTGATTTTTTAATTTCTTTTATCACGATTTCTGATGTTTCTGCGTGTTAACTATGAAATATACGCCAGAAAATATTTATAAACAAGCGATGCTATGACAATAAAGATATAGATAAATGTTTATTTATTGTGCTAACTTTGTAGGTCCGGTAGGAGGGTTTCGCAATGATTAAGGCTTCAATTTGGTTAACTATGAATTTAACAATTTCCATGATAATGTGCCTAGGATAATTTTGTAAAGACACTATTTAATTCTTTAATTCCCTTTAAAACGATTGTTTGATGTTTCTGCGTTTTTACTTTGAAATGTAAATCAGAAATATTTATAAACAAAAAATGCCATGATTATAAAGATTAATATAAATGCTATCGTTTAGTCCATGAAGTTCCGGAAAGTGATAAACTATTACTTTAACAATTTCCATGATTAACGTTGAAAGCTATGGTTATGCCCTCTATCGAGCGACAGCGCTTCAACCACTAGCACAGGTAGGACACTAGCTCCAGGTTTTTAAGGCCCATTATACCAAAGAAATGTATAAATTGCCTAACTGCTATACGGTTTTGATGTCCTGGTTAAAATCCCCCCCCCCAAAAAAAGCCACGCATTATTATCTCAGCAATCTGTTGGCTCTATTGCTTTGTAAATGTTTGTTCTTGTTTCGCTAGTTACAAAGTCTTTAAGAAGCTAGCGACATTAATTCTTCAAAACTGAATAGTATAATACCTATAGGATCGAAAGATAGATCCAAATGTTTCTTTGTTATCAGGACAAAACATAAAGTATCAAACACAGGATTTACGTTTGATGCTTGGTAAAACCCACAGTGCTGGAGCAATAAATAAATATATTACCCCTTTTCGATTGACCAAAAAAGTTTTGAAAAAAAACATGATATTGATAAACCAAGTTTTTAGTTATCCTTTTTCAAGGCATAAATACGCTGCTTAAGCGATGTCACCGTCGTTACACAGATAAAGGAGATCTCGTGGTGATATTTACACAGTTTGTCAAACAATTTGTTCCTTGATGATTCACTTTGTAAAATATACATTATAAAACCCAATGACTCTATTTTAAACGAACAACGGCGGGATTAAATCATATACTTTAGCAACTGAATCCTAACAGACTATCTTCTAGGGTTGAGTAATGCTTTCATTTTGTATGTTCTATGAATAAAATACGATATATGGTCTGCTACGATAAAAGCATCATATACCCCAATATAAACTCAAAATTATCAAATTTTTATGATATAAAAATACCAATAACATTTAATAAACAAAATTTATCTTAGTATTAATCTCCTTGTACCGGAACATAATGATAATAATACACACATACGGGCCTCATTTTCGAAAACACAGATTTTCTTTGAATAAATACAATAGTTTCTCTAACAGGGTTCTATCCATCTCTAACAGGGTTTCATCCAGAAAGCTTCTCAGATTTTATGTTGCAACTTTATTATTTAAAATGAGGTTCTCACTGTTATTTGCGTTTGTAATTTTCGTTGGAATATATAGTTATAATTTCTCTGAGGCAAGAGAGCCTGTTTGTTCTAAATTTGCATATGAAGAACAACTTTTAGAGAAAATGATAAGGACTGAAATTAAGGTAGAAACAATGGTGAATGAAATTAAGAAAATTGAGGATAATGTCATCAGTACATTAGGCGACATTAAACGAGCTGTTGCTGACTTTACGAACATGTTTGTAGATATGAGAGGAAACATAACGGACGAGATGTTAAAGAGAGGCGATGAGATAGAAAGGAGAGAAGGTATAATAAAACAGTTATTTCACATCAAATTCACATTTCTTACAGCATATTTAAACTTTTAAATGCTAAGTTTAAAATAATTTATATACAAACTATTGTATGTTTGTGGTGTCTCATTCAAGGGAGCTAAATGATGAATTTAAAATATATAACGTTAATTGAGTTACTCCCCATAGCGTGACAGCTCCAAACTTATGAGATTTATTTCTTGGAAAATTCCCGCTATGTTACTATTCTACCCAGCGAATTATATTGCACAGTTCGATTGGTGTTGTTTCTTCTCGTAATGATGTACTAAAATCAATGTACTAAAGAACTATCTTCGAAATGGCACCCTTTCAGGAGATGTATATACAGAAACAGTTTTAATAAAATAAGAAATAAACTTTATACTTTGTACATGTTTCTATTAATGTATAAATTTGTAATTGTGGTTATATAGATGAAAATACATTGTTTATCTTAATAACTATTTCGATTTGTTAATTTGAGTCAAAGCGAGACAAAAAAAGTACAAACAATATATTTCTGCAAGATATAACTTTCTGTAAACTATATAAAATGTATAAAACAATTAATGTTGCAAAAATGACATTTAATGTACGAGTGTCTACAAAAAATGACAGTTACACCTAAAATTTCCATAAATTGTTTTTAAACAATAACCAGAGCATGCCATGAATGAAATTAAAATAATAAATGATACATGCTTTACTTTTTATTTCCAAGGGAGACCGAAATTATATCAATTATAGAGATAGGATCCTTAGTAGAAATTTTACGAACTTAATATCCTTGAACTTTGGTTAGATATTAGTTAATATAATTTTCATACTTTATTTCAGAATCGTTCAAAACATTATTTGAGGAAACAAGAAAAACCCTGACTAGTGACATCGAGGCTGAAAAACAGAAACTTATTCACCTCCAAGGTATTGTTACCTATTGTATATCAATTGTTTTTGATTACTCCTTATCTACAACGGATTATAGCAAATTAAATTGTTGCTAACCTGACTCATGTTTTATCTTGGTATATCACGTGGTCAATAATATATAACAAACAATGTTTCTAACTCTCATAAGACGTCCAGATAATTTTGTTTACATTCACACATTCTAGTTTATAATTATTAAAATTATTATAACTCTACAGATATTGGTCGAATATAAATATAAGGTTTTAAATATAAGGTTTTGTTGCTTGCATATGCCCCTTGAGTTAAATATTTTAGATATGAAATACAAAAAAAAAAATTTCTCAGGAAAACTCGAACAACCTGCTATCGCTTTCTATGTACATCACTTGAAAGACCTGTTTCCTGATACTTCGGATGAGATTCTTATATTTGCGAGGACATTCACCAACGAGGGAACAGGTTACGACACGTCCACGGGATTGTTCACAGCACCTGTTGGAGGACTGTATCAGTTTGATGTTCATACATGTGCTTATAATGGGAAATATTCCTATCTGGGCCTAGTGATGGAAGGTGACGTTATTGCAGCAGATGCTAACTATGGTGATGCTAATCATGGCTGTAATAATTTTGGAGCAATAGTAAGAGTGAGATCAGGAGAACAAGTTTGGGTCAAATCAACTTCGTCAGCTTCTAACCGCCAGCTATATTAAGACTCTCAGAGGATGAACACATTTAGTGGTGTACTTGTCAGTTACTGATTTATAAATAAATATTGATGGGAGTAAAATCTGATTTCAGTGTTATAAGGAGACGTTTAACATAAACGTTTTGATGTAAATTGCTGCTTCAATTACGGTAACTTTGAGACTCTTTATAACAGTAGTGTTCTGTGAAATAAGTCGAAAATTGTCGATTTATATATGCTGTGTCTTTAAACGTTGTGACGAAAATTATTCATACAATGTTTTATTTTGCATATTTCCATTATTAGTTTATATTAGTATCTTATAGCAAAAAAGGCTGATTGAAATTTATAACAGCAAAGAAAGCGAATCTTATGATTATGTATGTTTTGTTGGAATGTAATTTAAAGCAATTGAAGTTTCTATGTTTATTAAAACAAATAATATACACCAGTGAAATTAAATCTATGACAAACATTAATGTAAAGTGTTATTAAAAAAAACCTGACATTCTTAACAAAAGGACTACCATAGGGAATGCACTTTACCATGTTAAGTTAGTGCATCCACTTCAGATCAATAAGAATAATCTTGATTTATATTTCTGCAATAGAATTATTTTACTCAACATGAACATTGTATATCTTATAGTCTAAGATAAACTTCTATTCTGTTCTACTCCTTAAAAGTAAAAACATTACTGAAACACCTTTTAAAGGATTTCAAAGTACGTGCATTTGCACGTGCAATATTGTAAATATTTGATTGAAACTAATGGATTACAAACAACACATTTAATTGTTTCCATGATGTGTATTAAATGACAACCTTAACAAGTCTCGGTGGTAAGAGAATTACCATATCAGTAAATAAAATGGTGGTACTGGTATTGGTTGTCGTCTTGCTTTGTTATAAATCAGAACTAGAACCTTGACGTATCGGACTGTGAGTCATGCATATATGCATACGCTTAAAACAAAGATCTCAAACATTTTACGAATTTCAATTGTCAATCTTTCCTTTGAATATGTCATTATTTTTGTGAATAAATTTCACATTACCGTGCAAACATCATAAAACAAACATGAAATGTTAAAGTTGTAAAAGTTTAAAATCGATAATCAAACCAACGTTTTGAAAATAAAAAATCATCGGAGTACTTAGCACTTTTGTTAACTGTACATGACATATATCTAATTATATAAAACCGAGTCTGCCACTATCAGCTATTTGCTTTGTTTTTATTGCTCTCGGGAAATCTGCCTTTTTCCAGATTAAGATACATATCAGCTACATTATGAAGTAGCGAATCGGCTCACTTCAGTTTTGTTATATTGTTCTGGTCCTTCGGGATCATTGATGCCAGCACTATTAAATGTTGAGAATTGAGTACCGCTCAAGCCGGTGCTAGGGTGCGTGAGGGATGTTGCATTTATTCAATATCCCTCATGTACAGACTCAATCAAACCGAGTCTGCAATTCTCGTGTAATTTTGTCTGTGATTAATGTTTCCGATGGATCACTTTGTTTCCAGATTTTCATATTCTGTATGTGTAGTAATATTCGCGGGCTTCAAATTTTTCGCGATCTTCCCGATGACATTCGATCCGCGAATTCATGTTCAGCGCGAATAATTCTACACCAATAATTTCTTAGTAGCATATTTTCGCGCATATTTACAACAATGTATATTAGTGTGTTCACGGCTGCCATAAGTCTGGTATCCGTCGCTCTTTCAAAGAGTGATTTTACTGTTGTATAATATGTACATGTGTTATTTAGCACTGTATATGCATGTTTGAACAATACAATTGCATCACGCTATTTATTTCAGAATCTGATAATATATTTTGTTTTTCTAAACATACAATTCAAACAGCACAAACATTAACGACTTTAACTGTTGAAAACATGGAAAACAAAACACAATTACTCAGTCAACATTTTGACAAAATCGGTGAAAAGATTATGATCTCATTCACTGCTGTTTAAAACTGTGAAAAACCACGCACGTTAATGAACTTTCTTTTGTTTGCCATAATCTGTCCGCTAGATAAATTGAATGTTTTTGTTCTGTACAATAGCGTATTATTTGACAACAGGTGTTGAACATACCAAAGTCAAGTCAAAGTCAAATTTCCTTTATTACACACATTTCATGTTAACATACAATACAATACAATACAATAATAGTTTATTCAACATTAAACATTTTACAATGTTTTTAGCATACAGAGTATAATATACAAAGAGAACATGGTTTACAGAAGAGTACATGATTATCAATTATGATTAATACTTAATTGATAATATTTTACTTTTGATACAAGAAAAAAGACTGATCATTTAAATATAAACTACAAGAAAAAAGACTGGTCATTTAAATATAAATTGAATCAGCTACACAAGGTTTCTGTTTATGAATATATGTGGTTAGTAATAAATACAATGTTAGTAGAGGCTCTTTAAACAAATGTACAATGTATAATTATATAATTTGAGTGGTAAAATAATGCGTAAAAAGAGTATTTATTCATATCATTTGCTGAACTGCAGTACGTTCAATTAACAATGTATCAAAACCACAAATTGTTAAAGTTCTTAGTAAATATGTTACCACAAAAAACCGTGGAGAGTCACGTAATTTAGACACTCTCTAAGGGTATAATTTCGTTTTATATTACCTTTCTTTTTATTTATCGACAAACGATGAGAATAGTTACAAAAAAGAAAAAGGGAAAAGAAATAATAATATAAACAACTGACAAGTGATGTACAATTATGTACGACATAATATTTTAAACCTTCACAATGACATTGCTAGACTCATACTAATAAGCTAAATGAAAAAAGTGTCATACTATTTAGACAAATATTATAACAAACAAACACTTTACTATGAGTAATAAAAGATTTATCTGTGAAATATTCGTGTAATAGTCTTGGAATGTAAGTAATTCTTGGAATGTAAGTAATCACATATGAGGTGAATACTAATTTTAATTATCTTAAAATTATTGTTTTAACAAATTTACATAATTTCAAATATTCGCTCTTGTTTTCTGTATTAATTAGTTGTTCTAGTTTGAATGTATTTGCACGTCTGTAATAATAGGGTTTCAAAAATTTCTTTCTTTCATCATTAAGCAAAACACATTCAAATAAGTAATGAAATTCGTCGCCTATTTTATTGTTACAAGAAGTACATGTTCTTTGATTAATTGGTATTCGGGCCCAATTTCCGGTTTCTATTGGTAATCTATGGTTACGTGTACGAAATTTTATCATGTAACGAAGAAAAGGTTTAGGAGTTGATAAAAGGTATTTTTCGAATTTAAATGCATTTTTGAATATTCTGTAGAATGTACTTTTGCTGGAGTTTTGAATAACGGAATACCAATTATTTAGAAAAACATCTTTTAGTTTCTGTCTAATTGCTAATTTCAACCACTTCTCGTTTCCAAAACTTTGTGTATCCCATATATTACATAAACCGCAATTTATAAAAATTTGTCTTAAGTTTGCAATCCAAGGAAATTTTTTTCTCAAATTATTTTCACTTAAGTTTTTTGAAAGATTATATGTAATATTGTATAATAGAGACGACAATTTCTTTTGATGATTATTTACATCGTGCTTTTTTAATCTAGCCCAAAACATGATTATTCTTTCGTTTATATCAATAGATAGCGGCAGGCAGCCTGTTTCTCCGTACACCATATAATTTTGGGTGGATTTTTTCATATTTAAAATATACTTTAAAAATTTTAATTGGACTCGTTCAATCACTTCTATATTACCATATCCCCATATTTCCGCCCCATATAGAAGAATAGGTTTTATTGTTTTATTAAAAAGATCTATTTGGATATCAATTGGTAAACTAAGTCGATTTGAGTTTCTTATTAAACTATACTATAAACTATACTATAAACTATACCTATGAAGTCCCACAACGATTACAGTAAAAAGTATGTAAAAAAAGAAGGCTGCTTGCGAAAAGCATTGCCTAATCGTGTAAGAATAACTTCCCATATTTTTTAACCTGATGGGTGTACGCGAATTTATGATTTTCGGCAGTCACCACCGCGAATTCAAAATAACGCGAATATTTGTATATACCCCCAAAATGGACCTTTCCGCGAAAATTTTCTTCCGCGAATTTAAATACACATACAGTATCTTATTCTGGCTGTACTTGTCCATATATCTCTTAAGTATCTTATATAACGAATTAATGATATTAATTTTACTTCCATTCACTTAAAATCCTTGTCCAATCAATAACTTGCAAAGTAATAAGCCCTGCGTTTTATTACTAGATAGAGCCATTGCCGTTAGTCCCTTAGTGGCTAGTCAAAAATCCCTTATAAATATTGATGTCACATAGTTACTCGTGCTCAAGACTTAGTAACTCGTGCGTACCTCTTAACTTGTGTGTACTTCTTAGAATCGTGCGCATGACTAAGTAAGCCGTATGCAGAACTTAGTAACTCGTGCAAACGACTGAGTAATTTGTGTTGTGTGCACGACACCCAATCTCTTGCCCATCTTATTTATTATCTCATGTGCACTCCTATATAACTCATGCGCAAGACAAAGTATCTCGTGTGCACGATTTAATAATATCTCTCCATAATATATATCTTGATAGTAGTATGTCGTCCAAACTTAGGGAGATAGCCATGTGATTATCATCCATTGTAGACACCTGTAATTCCCAGGGAGAGAAATATGTATACGATACGGAGATTCTTACGAGAGGCAGTTTCATCTAGTGGCCTGCGCTCATCAAAGATTGTTTTGATACACAGCGGAATCAACTGAACAGTATTCTGGCAAGATCTTACAGAAATATTTTTATAAGATTTCCGGACATAAGATTCCCCCAAGATTATGCCCGAGACTTGGTTATTAATTAATGCGCAGGACTTAGTAACTCGTGCGCACGACTTCGTAACTCCTGCCAACGACAAAATAATCTCGTGTACACGACTAAGTTACTCGCGCGCACGACATAGTATCTCCTGTGCACGAAATAGATAAAAACACAAACATTTCTCGTCTGAGGCACCGTATATACATTAAGTAATAGCGTCCGCTATAATGTTGTTTTTTTATTGATATATCTAATTGTTACCGGTTTTATCATTGTAGTATAACGGCACCCATTGTATCCTTAATGTCTTTATCAGAGTGTCTCGTTAAATATGAGGAAACTTATCATTTATTTAATGCGAGGACCACTCAGAAACATTTCTTATAATCAAACAATATATAATGATTTAGATAATTAAGATAAAATGTTATAAACAATTATATATTTACGTTTTCTATTTGAAAGAAGGGACGGGAAGAGTGTTGTTTTACTTATAAAAATATCATTACATTACTAAATAGTATTTACAAATTACATGTTATTCATTAATTACATTGTAATATGTTTGAGATTATTGAAATTCAAGTCAATCCCGATGAACTTATTAAAGATTTTAACAAATGATCAGGGGTAGGTAAATCGAATTCAGAGGTGGTAACAAAGTTATGGATACTTTAGAACAACAACATTCAACCATGAAAATGCATGTGTAACAGTTGTTTCTTTTCCAAAGTGTAAAAAATTTCAAATATAAGAAATGGTTTACATTTGTAATACATTTCCAGACATGTAAACGTATTCTCTCTTATTGTACCGTCTATGAATAATCGAATGATGACTTGACAGTAAAATAAAATAAAAATGCAATATGAATATTTTCATATTACAAAAGTATAAAGCGGAAATATCGATTCTAGACGCATTTCACACTTTCCAGTTACCTGAAATTCATCGGTATACAAGCTATTGGTTTTAAAAGGGTTGTCATGAAATATTGAAGAAACTGAATAATATGAAAGAACGTATGTACGAACATAAAATCATTTATTTTGATAAACGACTCGTATAATGTATTTTCTTTATATACGTATATTTATAGCGAAGGCTGCGAACTTCATGAATATGAGTTAATTTGCCATTAATAATATGTTTTATGCAATGAATATTTGTTTCTGACAATAAATAAAGTATATTGAATGTAAGTCAACAGATGATGAACAAGATCAACAAGGAAAGGCGGTTTTGGACGCATCCCGCAACACAGTTCCAATACTGAATTCAATGAACGAATTGAATAAAATTATAATTTTATTTTATTC